TGGACACTTGCCTTTGTGGAGACTCTCACAGTTTGACCTGTCCGGTCACCATCCTCAGAAGGTAATTTTAAAAGATAAAAGTATGGCTTGTCTCAGTGGCTCAGTCTGTAATCCCTGCACTTTGGGAGGTCAAGGCAAGTGGCTTGCCTGAGCCTGTGGGTTTGAGACCTGCCCAGGCAACTTGGCGAGACCTCGTCTCTACAATACATCAAAAGTTAGCTGGGCTCGGTAGCGTGCACCTGTAGTTCCAGCTACTTGGAAGACTGAGGCAGAAGGACTGCCGGAGCCCAGCAGGTTGAGGCTGCGGTGGCTGAGAGCATGCCACTGCACTCCAGTCTGGGTGATAGAGTGAGACTCCAACTCAAAATAAATAAATAAATAAAAAAGTAAAAGATAAAAGTATGGCTATCTTCTCAGAAGAAAATATTTCAAATTTAGAGATCCCATATCTTTCTCAAATGATTCTATAAATATTTGTTTTCAGGAAAATCATAAGGAATATTTGGAGGGTGACTTTTTAAACATAAAAAAATTATATCAATGTTTAACTAAAAGAATACATATAATAACTAACTGATAGAAAAGGGGAAAACAATAAGAAATATGCCTAACATCTGCATTAAACATAATATATAATGTGAATGTTTATTCATTGGGTGTATGTATACATTGTGCATTTACATATAGAGTATGTTAATTTATTATTAGTCAAATGATATCTACAACACTTAGAACATAATTTTAAGCCTAAAGTAAACTTGAATGTAGCCTGAAAACCTTAAGCCTTGAGAAACCTTCAATAAAAATATAGATTGGTATAAATACATAAACATAAGATTTCAATGTAAAAAATATATATAAAATTAGGAAAAGAAGGAAGTCAGTAAGTTGGCAGAATAGAACTTTCCAGTGCTTTTCCACCCCACAGAACTGTCAATGAGAAAAACTATCCATATGTGAAAGTATCTTCACAAGATTATAGCACAGAAATAAGAAAGACACAATGAAGAGGATATAGAGGTAAGATTTACATTATCTGACTCACCCCACCCCGAACTCCAGGCAGCACAGCAGGAGTAGAAAGTACCCTCCTTTTGAGAGAACGTGAGAGAAGTGAGCACTGGATTTTCTGGATTTTGCCTCAAATCTCAACACCGGACCTTCTCAAGTAAAACCTAGTACCAGACAGGAACCCATTGCCCCAAACTCCAGGCCGGTAGCCATGGACTCAACCTCCAGGCCTGTTCCATGCCAAGCCAGAGCCTTTGTCTCTGGGCCTGAAACACTGGTGGCCAATCTCAGAGACTCCAAATTTTGAAAGGACCTCACCACCTGGCCAGGTTCAGCAGCCGGGTAATTGGAGCCCGCCTTAGTGCCAAGCCAGTTCCAGTAAACTCAATCTCCAGATCTGCCCTAGGGTCAGGTGAACCAACCAGTAGGCTAATCCTCCACAGTCCCAAGCCACAGCACCAGGCTTGCCTCCTCAGACCTAGTCATCAGTGTGGCACTTTCTGACCCAACCTCTAGAGTGACTTCCTTGGATTCAGGCATCATATTTGCCCTTGCAGACACAAGCTCCAGCCCCACCCCTGCATAAACAATCAACAGGACTCAGTGGATTCAAGCTCCAGGCCTAAACTGGGGATCTAGTTGCCAGGTCTGTCCACCTGCAGACTCAGGCACCAGGCCAGCCTGCCTGAAGACCCCAGCATAGGTCTTCCTATGGTCATGCCATATGGCCTGTTCAGATCTGTGAATGAGTTGACAAGTGAAGGGCTTTCCCAGACAAAGCAGTTTGCAAAGACTGGAATAACTTCAACTTCTTCAAATGTACAGACATCACATGGCCACAATGATCAAGAACATCAGAAAAACATGACAATACCAAAGGAAGAGAATAAATCACCAGTACCCACTAAATGTCGATTTTAACTATTCTCACCACCAAAAAATAAGTATGTGAAGTAATATATGTTAATAAGCTCAATTTAGCTATATATACATATTTCAAAACCCCATGTTGTACATGACAAATGCATGCAATTTTTGTTTGTCAATAAAAAAGAATTAGTGGAAAAATTACATATATGCAATTAAAAGAATAATATTGACACATTTGAAAAATATTGGTGCTATTTCATAATAATGGAAATATAAAATAAGGAAATATAAAAATAATATGGAAATATAAAATAATGGAAATTTTAAAAAATACCTAGTCAGGAGAATGAACAATATGTTCAAACTTAACCTCACACTAATTAAAAATTTTGCATTTTAACTGAATAATTTTTCACAATAATGTTTTGAGGCAAATGATAACATGATATATTAACAAAGATCCATTGAAAAAGATATATTTTATGCAATGTTATTGAGAAAGCTCTTAGTAAATCCTACTGAAAACAGAGTTAGATTAAAATATTTATCTGGGGACTGAACGTAATTCAGTCTCTATTCTTCTGCAATTCATTTTGTATAAATTCTTTCTAAAGAAACAATCAGAGATGTGCCAGAGTTTACACTTACTAGCATTCAGTTTAACTTGTTTATATCTGAATTTAGGAAATATTTTAAATATATATTATTTTAGATATGCTTATATATTTTAGATGTCACAATTTAAAGATTAGTTGCACTTTGTACTATTTGTGTCAAGTGGACTGCCTCACAAACATCAAAATGTGAATTTCTAAGGGTTTTTAAGTACATGAAAAGTGCTTATTTACAATGTAGGTGAGAGAAGCAGTTTATTTATTTTTTAACAATGTACTATAATAGTAATTTTGTAAATGCCCATACATATTTAGGAAAATAAAGTTATTTTGTGAAAGGTTTTTAAGTGAAATTAAATCGATCATTCAGTGTTTACTATGTGTGTGTGTGTGTGTGTGTGTGTGTGTGTGTGTGTGTGTGTGTGTGAGACTGTGTATTATACTCAGGTATTTAACAATAACTGAAGCAAACAAAATCTTGGCAAGTAATGAACATACATGCTTTTGGAAAGAAAGAGAAAACAATAACATAAATAATTTCAGGGAGAGTTAGTAAACAGTTTATAACTGAGTGCAGTAGCTTATTTTATTATTTTAATTTTTTTATTGATACATAATAGTTTACATATTTTGGGGCTGCATCTGACATTTATTATATACATAAAATGTGCATGATCAAATCAGGATATTTGTGGTCTATCACCACTTTCAGTATTTATCACTTCCAAGAATTGGGAACAAGTGAAGTCTTCTAGCTACTTTGAAATATACGGCACATTGTTAGCTACAGTTCTTCTACTTTGCTATGGAACAATAGTACTTACACCGTTTTTCTAACTGTATGTTTGTACTAGTTAACTACTCTCCTCCCAGCCTCTGGTATCTATTATTCTACCCTCCACTTTTATGACATCAACTTTTTTATGTATCACATGAGTGAGAACATGTGATACTTGTCTTTTTGTGCCTGAATTATTTCGCTTAACAGGGAAGCTTCTAGTTTCATCTACATTGCTGCAAATGACTTGATTCCATTCTTTTTATGGCTAAATAGTATTCTGTTTTACATATATAACTAGCTCACTTTTTTTTATCCATTCATCCATTGAGGGTCACTTAGGTTGATTCCATGTCTTTGCTATTGTGAGTAGTGCTGTAAGAAACATGTCAGTGTAGGTAATTTGATTTCTTTTCCTTTGAATAGATGTATGTCCAGTAGTAGAATTGCTAGATCATATGGTAGTTCTATTTGTAATTTTGTGAGCAATCTCCATATTGTTTTTCATAATAGTTGTACTAATTGATATCCCACCAACAGTGTATCAGCTTGTTTTTCTTCATATCCTCATCAGCATCTTTTATCTCTTGTCTTTTTAATAATAGCCTTTTCAATTTGGGTAACTTGACATTGCTATTTTGATTTGCATTTCCCTGATAGTTAATATATACACACACAATGGTCTATTTTAAGTAGGATTGACAGTAATAATTCTCCGTGTACACAAATTTTGAGATAAAATCTAAACCAATAAGAAGGATGCAGGCACGAGGATTGGTGGAAACAGCATCTTAGGCAAAGGGAAGAGTAAATTCATAGTCGCTAAATCAGATTAGATCTTCCCATATTTGAGGCAAAAATAAAAGGGAAATTTGGCTGACTTATAGTGAAAAGAAAAAAAGTGTGCAGGGGTAAGATCCAGTGGGTCCCTTTAAGTAAAGATGTGCGTTTTATTCTAATTGCAAGGAGAAGTTCTTGAAGAGGACTGACTTGCTGTTTACATTTGTAAAAGAAAGCCTTAGCAAATGGACTGTAAAGAAAAGAAGAAAAAAGACCAGATTGATAGTAACTGTGGTCATCCAGGAAAGAGTGAATGCTAAACACTTTGTTTAGGTTCATGGTTCTCCTGGGGGAGAAAGGGGCTGTATTTTGCCATCCCCCAGGGAATACTAGGCAATTCTTATTTGTCACACTGAGGTGTGTGGGTGAGGGCTACTGCTGGCATCTAGTGAGCAGAAGCCTGCGATGCTGCTAAACTCACTGCAATGCATAGGACAGAACACTTCTTGCAACAAAGAGTTATCTGGACCAAGATAAGAAGTGTTGAGGGTGACAATTTCTGATTTAGGGTGATGGGAATGGAGATGTTTGATAAGTAGACAGAATGGTATAATTATGCAAAATATATATAGAGAGATGACCAAACTTCTAGTAGTCTTTTGAAGGCTACCCAATTAATTATTTTGTCAGAAAAAATAATATTCTTGTGAAATGTATTTGATATTTCTTTAATAAGCGATTAATGTGAAGAAATTATGGTTTCTCTTTTACTTAGAGAGAACACCAGTCTTTGTCTGTTATCCATGAAGACTAGATTTAAAAAATGTCAACAACTTAAAATATTTTGAAAGGTTTTTTACCAGCTTACTAAAAGTTATCTTAGAAAACACATTTACTCAATTACTTTTTTCTCAAATAAAAGAATAGAAAGAAAAAAATTTACTTACTTGCCATTTAATGCTGCTACACCAACTGTGCTCCGAGCAATTGACATACTGGCTACAAATGTCCATTGCTGATTCTGGGGATCCCACCTCTCCACTGTATTCAGATAGCTCCAGCCGTCATGACCTCCCACAGCATAAATAGGGCCTTCAAGTACAGTTACACCTAAAACATTGGACAAATAAATGCTGTGTCTATAGATAATATTATTATAGTATACACTTATAAATCTATTAGGAGGGTAGATCTCATGTTACATGCACTTACCACAATAAAATAAAAATTAAAATAAATAAATTTATTTCACAGTGATATTTTAAAAATTAAATTAACAGTACAAAACTATAAGCTTGGTCGGGTATGGTGGCTCAAGCCTATCATCTCAACATTTTGGGAGGCTAAGTCAAGAGGAATGGTTGAGCTCAGGGGTTTGAGACCAGCATGGGCAACTTGGTGAGACCTTGTCTCTACAATAAAAATAAGTAAATAAATAAGCCAGGTGTGGTAGAGTGCCCCTGTAGCTCCAGCTACTTAGAAGGCTTAGGCGGAAGGATTGCCTGAGCCCCGCAAGTTGAGGCTGTGGTGGCCATGAGCATACCACTGCACTCCAGCCTGGGCAACAGAGTAAGATTCCGACTCAAAAAACAAGCAAAACTATGAACTTATTTATCATAGATTCCAGTTATTAAAAAACAATTGTATTGAGGTAGAAATAACTACTATTTATTGAATCATTCCATTAAAGTGAAAACAAAATTTAGAACCAAAAACAAATACTGAGACCTAAATGCTTTATAAAATAAAACTAATTTCCTTATTTATGACCATATAAAAAAGCAAATACTAAAAAATCAAAAGTGATATGTCTTGTGCTTCTACTTTTGAAGAACATTTCTACACTGCAGCTTAAAGTACTTTGTTACTTTAAGCAATGTTACTTTAAAACAATGTAATATTATCAATTTGAATTTGGGTATGGTGTTCTCCATTTTGGCTTTCCAATAACATTATAATAAACTTAGATAAAGTTTAGAAAATGCAACATATTTTATATTGTTAGTTAAATCACTAAACACAAAACGAACAGATAAAATTAATAGTGAGCCATCAATAGGAGAATATAGACAACTTTTAATCACTGCTTTTCCAGTAAAATTACTTCTTCATAGATGAATTTTCTTAAATACTAGCTAGTTGCCAAAATATTTGCATATCATACTAAAAATTATGTGCTCACTATCAAGAAATTCTGAAGAATATTCTTCAAAAGGATAAAATTCAAAGTTTGATTGTCAAGAACTCTAATATATTTGTGATTTTATCCTATTTCCAAGCTGACAAGTTAGACTGCCACAAATTTATGCATTTTAGTGAAGATATGGCTTCTGGGTCAAAGAGGAAGGGCAGTTATTACTCATAGCAATAGCAGTAGTCAGAATATCACCAATTTTTGATTCTAATGCTAGTTCCCCAAAATCCAATTTCCACAGGGTGATCCAGAGAGGGTAACCAAGATGACCTTAAATGTTTCCCTTAGCTTGACCAAACTTTAAATGAGTTACTCCTGCCTTGACCCCACTTTTTAAAGAGCATTTACCTTAGAAAACTTGTAATTGCAAATTCTTTCTCGGTTCCTTTGAGATGTACTTTTAAAACAAAGAAAAGAAAAGAAAAGAAAGCACCTCTTGCCAGTTTTATAATCCAGGGCTGTCTTTCTCAAGGACAGGGGGCCAACCTTCTGAAATATAATCATTAAGGAAGATGGTGCCCCATTTCCCAGTCTTTTTGGTAGAAGAGGAGCCTAACTTCAATCGACACCTTGCTCCAACTTATAAAACTAACTTTTGATGTAAAGACAATAAAAAGTTTACTTTTCTTTTGGGTAAGGTCAATTATCAAACAGATTGCCCATGATCCTCCAACCCACTCCATCTTAAAAAAAAACTCCATCACATTTGTTTCAGCAGAGTTGTGTTCAACCAAGGTTCTCGCCTTTCTTTTGTATTGCAGTAGACTTGAATGAAATCTTTCTTGTCTGTTTAAGTTTGCCTCATACAATTTTGCTTTTAGAAGGGTCAGCTGAAACCTGCTCATGCAGTGAGTTGTACTACAGAAAAGAAAATTATAAATTATCATGGACATAAATGCACATGCCGATTGTTCTGGAAGGAGATATTACTTTTATGCTTTTAAGCATGCCTGCCTTTTATTTTGGATAGAGGAACTATGTCTTCCCAGTCTTTCTACGATAATAACATCCATTAAAATATAACTGAGAACAAAAGATACTCAGTGATTTGACTTTTAAAATGTAAAATGTGAGAGACCCATGAAAAATTGTCTCCTATCACAGAGGTAAAAATGAAATGACATCTTATTTATCCATTCATTTATTTATCTATTATTTACTGAATGGCTATTATGTGCCAGAAATTGTTCTTTGCACCAAGGACACAGTAAACAAGGTAGACAAAGTCTGTGCCCATGTTGAAATCCACAAATTGGTCAATGAATGCTTAGTTAATTGAAATAAGTGCATTATTCCCAGTAGGTAAGTCAGCTTCACACATATTACACAATTATGAGTTAATAAAGAAAAAAATAGCTGACTAGAATAAAAAATGCTCTCATAGATACACTCAATTTAGGGATACTATTTCACATACAACAGTAATCAGATAGGGATATGGAGGGGTAACATTTTGAAGCAGTCACAGGCAAAATTTTTAAAAAACCCATAAACTGTAGATCTTGTTTTTCTTAAGGCAGTTCAAAGTAAAAAATAAGAAATGAAAGGGATAAGAAAATGTGAAGAAAAGAATATGGATATATTGAATTAGAAAGCTAAGGTAGTGAGCCAGGAGACCAGGACCTTGGGCCAGATAAAGAGAAATTTTGAAAACCTGAAAATTGATAAGCAATAAAATGTAAATGTCACCTTGGTTACCACCCGACCACCTCTGTACCACCCCCAAAAGGTAGAACTTGTGGTCAGAATTGTGGTCAGCACATCCTGAAGGACAAGAACTACGGTGTGTTAGGGAATCCCCTAAAAGGTATATGTTCCATAATATAAAGCCATGTCCTCTTAATGACCTCAAGTTCATTATACCATCATTATAGTAAAATTTTCAGGTGGTTTAGCCCCTCTGAGTAGGCTATTCTTAGCAGATTATGGGTAAACTTATGTATAGTTATAGAGTCATGCAAGGACACAAGATGCCAATCATAAATGTCAGTCATTAGAGAGAGACTAACCATTCTCCTTTCTTTAGGAATAAGATTGCAAAATCTGGGAAGTCAGAGCTCTTGAGTCACTTTTGCTCTTGATCCTGCTCTTATGTCTTTGGAGTGTACTAGTGCTATTGCTTAATAATCCAATTATTTGCTTTTGCAATTGGTTTGTTTCCTCCAATTCTTTTTTCAAGACATTAAGAACCTGGTTTGAGTTGGCGATCCTGCACCCACATGTAAAAAATATCTCATGGGCTTTTTAGAGAAGTAGTACATGTAGCTATTCACATGTATCAAAAATAATAAACTATATAAAGATGAAGGTTAAACACCAGTGAGATGTTTTTAGAAAGCTGCTAGAATCAACTTTTTCCTGAGTACCATTTAGGTATTCAGTAGACTCTAAGATAGGGTGTGTGCTTTGAATTAAGTAGACCATTATTTTGTGTTGACTTATGCTGTCTGTCTTATTGAAGATACAATAAATATCAGAAAGGGCCAGATCATTTGCATGATCCAATGAAACTAATACATTTAAATTTTATTTTAAGAGCAAAGAGAAATCACTGAAGTATTTATCACTAAGAGAGTCATGATTGCTGTGACATTCATTCTGCTTGTTTTGTATCAAAGGAATTGAAGTCAGGTTAGGTGGCAGTAGTGAGATGATTAGAAGAAAATTTCAAACATTCAAAAAGTAGAAGGTGGAAGCTTAAATTAGTAGGTTTAAGTTTGAATAAAGAAACGTGAAAATATTTGAAATATGTTCTGGAGTTCTTGAAGTTGGAATTTGCTGATGGATTGAATCTGTATATACAAATAAAAAGAACAAATCAGGGATAAATGAGTTGACTGAATAACTGGATAAATTTTAAGAGTAATAAAAGTTTAGAAACTATTATGGGGGAAACTTTGAGCACTCCATTTTGCACATGTCACGTTTAAGGAGACTTTTAGATATCTAAGTGAGAGTAAACAGGCAGCTAAACATATATGTTTGAATTTCAAGTTATTGGAAGTACATGTAAAATTTTTGCAGTTATCAGCAATTTAAAGTTAAGTAACTAGATATGATCACTTAGAAAATTGTATGAAGATAGAAAGTAAGAGAGACCGGAATTCAGCCTCAAGTAATTCCAATATTGTTTACAAAAACAAAAAAAGAAAAGAAAGCAGAAATGGTCTAGTAGATGGGAGGAAAACCAGAAGCTTTTGGTATCTGGAAAGTAAGAATGGAGAGAATTTCTAGAGTTAGGAAGTGGTTATAGATTTTCATACTTTTAACTAAGTGTACATTTTAATACAATTTGGAAAGAAAAAGATTGTTGTGGACTTTGAAAATAGTTTCTGGAGCAGTAGTGTACACATTTTAACCCATGCTGGTTACTAGTTAGTATAGAGTACTCTAAGGGCTACAAACATCATCCACCTGTGACTTGTTTTTCTTGATTGTTAGAGGTTACCTGACGTTATGAAAATGTTTCACTTCTAAAGTATAACATATAAAATGCAAAATGTATATGTTCATTTGATGATATTTTATCACAAGAATAACATGATATACCACAAGAATGCTACCTATTGCTTTCACTACAGAATGAAAAAGAATTTGCTTTCCTCTCATGCAAATCTCCAGTCTACACACTTCCTGAAGGTAACAATTTTTAAATTTCTGATTTACTTCCTTGATTTGCACTTACAAATTAAGTAATAATTTAGCATGTTCTTTTTTGTGTGTCATTCACCTTTGAAGTTATATTGGTGACATTTTCAGTCAGACATTAGTCATTTATTAGTTTTTATGAAAAATATTGTTACATCTTATAAACTATGCCACTTTTATAACTCCATTTTATTGTTAATGAAAAATTGCATGTTTTCCAGATTAAACATTTTAAAAATAAAGCTGAAATGTATACTTTTTTGATGCA